ACTTGAACCATAGAGTGCTGTGCATCCCCATTCCCTCCCCATCCCCATCCCATCCCCATCCCATCCCCACCCCATCCCACCCCATTCCATCCCACCCCATCCCATCCCTGCAGCTCACCCCATCTTATTCCATCACTTCCCAGCAGCTCCCTGGCACTGCCAGCTCCTTCGGGCCTCCTGCTGCCCATCCCACCCCACAGGTAAGGATACAAATCAGTGTGTATCTGTCTCTCCATGGCTGGTGCCCGCACTCCCACCCATCTCCATGCTCTGGATGGTGCCCAGGAGGGTACCAATGCAGCACCATGCAGGGATACACCATGTGGCCGTAGCCTCAAATCAAGACTGACACCAGTCCTGAGAGTCCGCGTCCTATTTTAGAGGGGAAACCCTTCATCCTCCTTTGACCTTCCACCTCTCCACCCCTGCAGTGCCGATGGGGAGTTCGCTGTGACCCACATGACGAAGGCCCACCTCTTCTCCAATGGGAAGGTGAAGTGGGTGCCGCCCGCCATCTACAAGAGCTCATGCAGCATCGATGTCACCTTCTTCCCCTTCGACCAGCAGAATTGCAAAATGAAGTTTGGCTCCTGGACATACGACAAGGCCAAGATCGACCTGGAGAACATGGAGCACCACGTGGACCTCAAGGATTACTGGGAGAGTGGTGAATGGGCCATCATAAATGCCATCGGCACTTATAACTCCAAGAAGTATGACTGCTGCACAGAGATCTACCCCGACATCACCTTCTGCTTCATCATTCGTCGCCTCCCGCTCTTCTACACTATCAATCTCATCATACCCTGCCTGCTGATCTCCTGCCTGACCGTGCTGGTCTTCTACCTGCCCTCCGACTGCGGGGAGAAGATCACCCTCTGCATCTCCGTCCTGCTTTCCCTCACTGTCTTCCTCCTGCTCATCACGGAAATCATCCCGTCCACCTCGCTGGTCATCCCACTCATCGGCGAGTACCTCCTCTTCACCATGATCTTCGTCACGCTCTCCATCATCATCACCGTGTTCGTCCTCAACGTTCACCACCGCTCCCCCAGCACCCACACCATGCCCTGCTGGGTGCGGAGCTTCTTCCTCGACTTCATCCCTCGCTGGCTCTTCATGAAGCGACCCCTGGCACTGCCTCCCCCTGAGGGGACCGCGGGGCAATACGACCTCCCGGGGACGAGGCTCAGCACCTCCCGGTGCTGGCTGGAGACCGATGTGGATGACAAGTGGGAGGAAGAGGAGGAGGAGGAAGAGGAGGAAGAGGAGGAGGAAGAGGAGGAGAAGACGTACCCC